CACACACACACACACACACACACACACACACACACACACACACCCATTTGTGTTTGTGGGGAACACTGTTCTAATATGTTACTGTTAGAAAGATGGAATTCTGTGCCAAAGGCATTAAATCATTTTAATTATGAAACATTAAACATTAATCATCTTAAATATTACAGAGAACCATGTTCTCCGGATGCTATTAGTGAAGCTAATTACAATTCTTGGAATCACAAACAAGAAAAAAAGTCAAAATAAAACTGCATGGTTGTGCAGCTGGGATAGATTTTTAAAGGGGCATGTGTCCAATATTTCATGGCATTAGAATAGAAAACAAAATTTAATGTTATATTGTACTACCAGAGTAGAGCCAAAACAAAAGTCATGTAATGTGATGTATAATACGACTTGTACAAGGTTGGCAGAGGCTATTATTTGTCTGTGTGCAGTGTCCTAATATTTACAAGATGAATGAATAAATAAGTGAATGGGGTTCCTTGTTTATTATTGTTTATTGAAGAGCCGTGGCAGGAATGACTTTCTGGCGTTCAGATCTGTACTTCAAAGTGCTGCTATGTAAAACCTCCAGAGCATGAAGTGTGTGGGAAGTGTAGCTGAGAAAGGAGTAGTTTTAGAGCATTCTCAACTCTGCCACCTGCTGAGATGTATCCAGTTGAGCCTGGCATTTAGAACATATCCTCCTGATCAGGTTAGTTCTGTTCTTGTCTGCTGTGTTGGTTCGCCCCAACCCAGCAAACCACTAAAAACAGAGATGGTCCAGTATCTCCCAAGTTACTGTGCCATGCTCTCTGAAAACATCCCAGTCTGTGTGGTGGAAACAGTCCTGGAGCATAGGAACAGCGTTCTCTGGCCATATTCTCACTGTCTGAATGGTGGTCTCAGCACTCTTGAGCATACTGTGGGTGCAGCAGAAGAGAAAGGTGGTCTGAAAGACCCAGGTGGGGGTAGATCTGGGTTCTGTAGGCATCTGCTACATTAGTATACACCTGATCCAAAGTTCTATTCCCTCTTGTAGCACATTTAATATTTCGGTGGAATTTGTGCAGAACAGATTTTAAGTCCACGTGATTAAAGTCCCCAGCTGCAACAAAAACACTGTCTGGGTGTGCTATGAGGCGTTGTTGATGCTACTGTGTATTTGTGCTAGTACTAGCTTAGCGTTAGCATCCAGTGGAATGTAAACAGCACAAATGTAAACAGCAGTAAACTCACGGGGGAGATAGAACGGTCGGTACTTTAGCAGTAAAGGTTCTGCGTCTGGACTGCACTGCTTATCCACTACTGTGCTGACGGTGCACCAGCAGTTGGCCATGTATAGTAGATGCTTAGGCCCCCGCCGGTTCTCTTTTGTGAGTCCGCTGTCCTGTCGGCTCGGGAGACAGTGTGGCCCGCTAACTTGATAGCAGCATCTGGAGTGGAGCAGTCTAGCCAGGTTTTGGAGAAAATTGAGCAGCAGCAGTTGTTCAAGGCTTTCATCGTGGACAATTGCAGTCGAATCCCGTTCATCTTAATCCTGCTTGACCGCGCATTGGAAAGGAAGATGGTGGGAAGCGGTGGTCTGAATGGCTTAGCTTTCAGCCTTGCCCGGACGCCTGCCCGCTTGCCTCTCTTCTGCCCCCGCTCAGTGCTTCTTCCTCTGGCTCGCTGCTGCGGGCGTCCCAGTTGGTGGTCTGATAATCTCAGAGGGGATGGAGTAGTGTCTGATCGGCGGGTAATGTGCACCGTGATTAAGTTGTAATATTTCTAATAGTTCAGTCCGACTGCATTGCAATGCAAGGGTGCTAAAACTGTGCGTAACAATAAAAACTATCACCAAAAAAACCATAAAAACTACTAAAAAGGTTGATACTCAGGGCTGCTGCATCTCTGCGTGCTGCTATCTTGTGTTGTAGCAGAAACCAGTCATCCAGCAATGTGTTTATTTTTTCATTTTGTTTATTTCTGCTTCTTGCTTGTTTATTTTAACATTTTTCGCTCTTAAACTCAAATTAACTTTCTGTAACTGAACAGTGGTCAGTCTTAGTGTTGCTTTCATCAAGTATGCTAGTTTTGGCAGCATTTTTGAATGGGTATTGTCATCACCTGTTAGCATGGTCTGTGCTAACTCTGAAGTTTGAATCATGAGAGTTTCTGCATTTATTTGTTCGATCTTCCTTTGAAAATCTGGAATTAATGTTGACTTTGACAGTTCTGTCATAACTGTCGAGGGTACACTTTTAGAGACTTTTTCCTCTGTTTCTGCCCTTGATGACGTTGAAAATATGTCTGAATCAATTTTTTGCAATGAAATATGTTTATCTTTTTAATAGAAGTTAAGTGAGAAACGCAAGTAGCTTTTAGGTTTATTTAAGCTTTGCTTGTGTGGCCAGCAGGGGGTGTTATTTTAATTTAGGATTTGTTTTATCAATCTTGAACAGCGCCAGTGAGAATCTCACATGTTCGACAAGGATGTAAGTTCGTTGCTACACCAGGATAACAGACAGTTTCACAAAAAATAACACTTTTATTAGCTTCAATAAAAAAATAAAAAAACAGTAAATTAAAGGCACAGTGTGTAGGATTTGTTGTTTTCAGCAACATCTAGTGGTTAAGTGGTTGAATCATCCTCCCTGGTCCTCCCCCCMCCCCCMCCMCMCACTTCCAAACGCAAATGAAATGCTACGGTGTCTCTCAGGTGTCAAAAACCTTTGATAATTCCAACCGTGATGTCTACCAGCAGCTTCAGGGCTAGTGATGTTTCAAAGTGGTAAGATTATGAGCTTTAATAAGTAAAATTATACCAGCTATGTTTACATGCACAAAATTTTTTGATCGGATTGAAATGTATTCGGATTAAATAATCTAAATGTACTGTTTACACGGACACAATCCGATCATGAAAAGTGTTTACATGCACCGGAGTTTTATTCAGAATAAAAGTCCGGACATGCGCAGTGTTGTAAACATTCAGCTCTACTTCCGTGTTACAACCGTAAACAAAGCTCCTCTGTGCGCTCAGGACGGACCCGTGTCAGCTTTTAATAACAGTAGAGACGCCGTTACTCCTCGGTTGAGCTGCAGCCTGCAGATGAAGCAATACGTGCTTTTTATTTTTATTTTTTGCGAAGCAACGTCTGCTGTTTGCCTCCTTTTWCATCTGTTAAGACAGCGAGGAGGAAAAGTTCTGCACGGTGCTGCGCAGCTAGAACGCTGCTGTCCCACTGGGTGAATGAAAGTCAGCAGACATGCGCACAGGTCATTTTTCTACAATCAGAATAAGATGATCAGATTAAGTGTTTACATGAACCTCATTCCGATTATCAATCGGCATAACCCACCCTTTTCATTCGGATTAAAAATTCGTTCGGATCGAGCTCAATCGGATCAGAATAATCAGAATGGGCTGTTTAAATGACACATTTTTATTCAGAACGGCCGTTCAATCCGATTACTTTTGTCCATGTAAATGTAGCTAATGATAGACAACAAATATTACATTTATAGTATTACAACTAAAACCGATTTTGACGCCGCCACCGCAGTTTGTCCTTCACGAGCCTTCATAGACAAGATGGCGGTGCAAGATGGCGGCTGCCTGTGTGGCGACCCGCGACCATGGAGATAAACAGCTTTTTTATAAGGTAAAATAATAAAACTAGGTCTTTGTCTGCAATAATTAGACATGTTTTTTATTATTGCCATTAGTGATTATCTCAATTTCGGCTAAAAGAATTAACAAAATCCTACACACTGTGCCTTTAAAACCACTATAAAATATCACTTGATCCCTAAGGGAAGAAAAATGTGCATGAAGCTCAATCACCAATCTATTTAGCAAAAAGAAAAGATCCTGAAATGTTAAATAAATAAAACAAAATTGGTTAAATAAAAATACAAAAAAGCACAATGAAATAAATCAGAATCAAACAATAAATTATAAAAGAAAATGGTGAAAGCTCACTCGATTACCACTGAAGTGAACCGAATACTTTTCAATCCCTTTGGCTGTCGAATCAGCAGTATTAGTGATGAAGTGAGCTGGTCGCTTCTATGAATCCAAACAGGAACCGGTAAGACAAGACAGCAGCGCAGTCATCAGAGCGTCACTGCACGTCAAACATTTACGCATGGCGATACACAGCACGCGCCTACAAAACAAATTATATCAGTGCTAGATTTGAACAAGAAAATATGAAAACACACATAAAAATAGCAGGCATCTTACCAGAAGATGGAAGCACAGCGCCCAGGGGAGAGAGCAGATCAGCAGGACGACAGCAGGAGGAAGCCATGCGCCACAAACAATCCCGACTGCAGCCGGCAACACCAACCAACAGTAGTGCCACTGAACACATCAGCAGGTGTAACATCCAAAAACCACGAAGCCCTGACTGCCAATAAATGGAAAGATGGCACTTACAGTTTGATGAGCAGCAGCGACAACACAGCCAGGCAAAAAGCTGACACGCCGCAGGAAGAACAAAGTTTTTTTCACGCAGGAGCTGCAACCTGCCTAAATATAAAGCAGCCTGCCACGCCCCTCAATCAGTGCTGCACACTTGGCAACACCTGGTGTACCAAGTGACAAAAACTACACACCATCTCACCACATTCTACCCCCCAATGTTGCATCGTCACCCCGACGATTAATACACCTCAACACCACGGCCAAAAAATGGCAAAATGTGCATTTGACACTGGCTGTAGAGACCCTGTAGCTTGACAAACAGAGCGAGGAAGATGGTGAACATTTGAATGTTGTCCAACCCTGTGGTGTATTTTCATGTACTGTCTCTTTAAGAATTGTGGACGCGCTTCAGAGCGGACGCGCGCACTGGGTGGAGAGTCCAGCTTAACATCAGGCTTTGTGGACCCATGTTCCATCTCTCTCGCTGAATAAACCTTGTCCAAAGCTGAAGATGTCCACTTTTCTTCATTTAAGTGTCAGCTGAAGAGGGTTTTAACATCCAGCAGCTTACAGGCAAGATGGTCTCTGATTTTCATCAACCCAGAGGAGAAGCCACCAGGTGTGGGCAGAGGAGACGGGTCCAGAGAGCAGCAAGCAGCCGCAGCAGACGACGAGGGAGACGGAGGGGTCCACTCCAGCCGCTGACAGCCTCAGATGAATATTGTATTGTATCTATTGTAGGCAGCACACACCCGAACCCAGGAGGTAGACCCAATCATTCTGAGGTGGAGAGGAGCAGATAGCCAAGGCCCAGCCCGGGCCGCACCAGGACGCGCAGCCAGCCCCCAGCCGCAGAGAAGCATGCCCATGACCACCCCACCACACTGCCAACGGCAAACATTATTAACATTTATCTTTTGTAAAAAAAAAAAAATTCAAGATGGTTTAAATCTATTGTGTGAATCTATGTTTAAAAATCAGTATGTTGTTGTTATGGCAATATTTATTTAACAAAGACAGAAATACGTGGTCCAAGAATGAAGGTACTCTGTGAGATGATCAGCTGAGTTTTATTGCAACAACAGGAAACACAGAGAACAACCTGCCCTGTCTCTGTGCCTCTGCCTCTCTCTGTCACTGTCCACTCTGTCCACTGTTGAACACGGTCCACTCCACACTACTCACTGTGTCTCGAGAGGCCTCGTATATATATTAACAAACACCATTATGC